ACAGGGATGTTTGATTAATAGTGGTAAAATTAAACTATTATATTCTAATAAAACAGGGGTCCAGTTAACAGTGATTAGTAATAATAGGAGTAGGTGTTTGTCAAGCTAGTGTTCTTGTTAAAGTTTTGATTTACTTTAGATATTTAATTTAAAAACACCCTGTATGATATATATTTGGAAATCCTTTTTTTTTAAGTATACCCTCCTACACAATATGAATAATTCACAATGTAACAGGATCATTTTTTATTTCGAATACAACCTAACGATATATAATGCTAAGGTACCTACAGTTTATAGTGTAATTTAAGATTACTACTGGTGGTGAAAAAGTATAAACTGTATCTAATAATCCTGAATTGGTAGTCGAATTAGGAACTTCATTTAGTGATAAAATTACAATAATAAAATTATGCTAATAAAAACCTGATAACCGATAAGCGCAAGAAATTTTGTTGTCGTTATTACCGATATTTTTAGCTTTGGTTTCAATGGCAAATTTGCAGAATAATTAAAAAGTGACGGTACATCAGAGTTATCGTTATAACCGGTGTTGTTATAACCAAGTTTCACCCTATACATTATTGTTTTTCCAAACAATTGCTCGCTACTTCATTAAATTTTACAGCCAATAAAATAAACGGTCATGAGTTAATATTTCATATTATTACTTACACTTATAATAATGTGTACAATAAGTGTGTGCTAAGTACTTGTTGTTTCGTTGTTTTACACATTATTAGTGTTCGATAGGTTGCGTGTCATTGTGTGAATGTAACATGCGTGATTGCATGTAACTGATATTCTCTTGTTATTTACAAACAGGCTGTACTTGCTATTGGCCGATGCAGTGGGCGTTATATTTAATTATGTGAAAACATTGTCGCCCATTGGTCAAATGATTAAAATATTAAGTTTTCAACAATGAGTAAAAAAAAGGGAACTGGAAAATAAATAAAGAAATAGGTCAAAATCAAGATCGTATTGGACGCGGACATCATATATGTATATTTCATACCCCTTTGAAGTTGACATGATAAACTAAGCAGGAAATGGATAAATAATTAGCCGTGAAAACTAAAAATTAGTCGTCATCCGGGAAACCCGAAAACCATTTTACATGGAAACTTCAAAAGGAAATGGTTCATAGCTGTTTATCAGTTTCGACTTAATCATTCTAAAATTAATACAAGATTATACAAAGGTTGTTCACATTAAACGCGGGGCACTTTTAACTTAANGTGGGTTTTACAAATTTAACTTTTAAGACTGCTAACGACAAAACTATTTATTTACACTAATTATTAAAGAACTTAAAAACACTATTAAATTATTACTAAATTTAGGTTAAGAATTATTCTATTTATTTACACTACTGTTGATTTATCACTATTCACTGCGCTATGTATTTCACTTCTATCACTGTCAATTTATTTCTCGATTCACTTCTGCAACGGTCAATTTATTTCTTCTCTCGGCGATCGTCTTTTCCTTTAAATACTCTTTTGTTTACTTTTTGGAACCTTCTGGAAACATCCGGATAGTTTATTTTTTTCCTTTGAACTGTGTAACTGCTTTCCCAGAAATTCGCATCCATGAACTCTGTAGTCTTCTTCGATAACGACCTTGGTGCTAAATCTTGATGGAACGTGAAGTTACCGTTTGGGTTCAGCCAGTAGGCATCTTTGCCCAAAAATTTCTTCAACACATTGTTGATGTGTTGATTTTGGCACCAGGATCTACAAAATGAACACTTGTTTTGCCATTAAAAGAGACGTCAGCCCATATTATAAAGTCTTTGAAGTTTTGGGCTCTTTTGATGCCGACTCACATATTGCATTCTTCGTTTACCATTCAATTATCCATATAAAACCAAGCATCGTCTGTTGTGATGAAATTCATCCTCTTTTGATTGTTCAACAATTTATATAAAGCCGGCCCTCTTTACCCCTCTTTCTGGTCTTTTTTTATTTAATGTATTTTTTTTTATGTGATAACATCATGCATTTGATTTACATATCTTGAACTTCTTCTCCATTAATTTATGAATTCGTGGATTTGGTTTATCGGTTAGTTCTGCGAAAATTTTCAACTTTAATGTTGTCTTTTTGTTTCATGTTTTTCGATTTTATAAGAATGTTGCATTTAATGTTCTCAATTATTGATTGCCTAATACAAACAATAAACATCATAAATAAGTCTTTATATACGTTAATTAATTGCACTGTTATTGTGGATAATTACAACATCGCTAAAATTGATTAATATGATTCAAATTTCAGGAATCGTTAAGAAACCATGCACATTTTCATCGTATTATTACATGTAATAGTACTTGTTGTGAATACAGACGGTGCCATGTTTCTGTAAAAATCATGAACCATTATCTAGGTATTTATGCACAATAAGATTATTTAGAATACAACGTATGAAATTGTATTTGTAAAATGAACTTATGAAACCTTACGTTAAATGGAGCATGGTTGTAACAATATAAATTACAGCGCCAATTCTGATGCCTACAACGTCCATTTTTCATAGTATCGCAAATTGACTAATTAAACCAACGCTAAAAAAATCGGTTATAACGTTAACAAACTCGGATATAACCCTATAAAGTTGATGCCTATTCCCAATTGAATTGTTATGTACTACTCATATTAAAAATTAGCTATCTTCGTTTCTAGCGGACTTTCCATTAAATACCAACCTCACAATTGTCCCAAAACACATTAACTCCCGTTCAGAGTTGTTAAAATAGTGTAATGTTCGTGGGTTTAACAAAATTAACTTGTAAGACTGATAACGACAAAAACTATTTATTTATACCAATTATCAAAGAACTTAAAACACTATTAAATTATTACTAAACTTAGGTTATGAATTATTCTATTTATTTACACTACTGTTGATATATCACTATTCACTGCGCTATTTATTTCACTGCTATCACTGTTAATTTATTTCTGGATTCACTTCTGCAACGGTCAATTTATTTCTTTTTTCTCTCAGCGATCGCCTCTTCATTTAAATACTCTTTTGCCTACTTTCTTGAACCTCCTGGAAACATCCGGATTAGTTTATTTTTTCTTTGAACTGTTTAACTGCTTTCCCAGAACGCAGGTACGACACACACATTTACAAATACGACGCACATAAAGAAAGGCGCCCGCGGCTAGTCGGCGAATCACGCTCATGCTCGCTACAATACTAAAGCAATGAAATTTTAATTCATGGCTAGCTGATTTTGAACCAAACGGTCGAGTTGAAACTGTAGAAGTGAGCCTAATAATATTGTTTATTAACGCTAAAAGTCTGCAAGGTGACAAAATCATATTAACGATTATCGTTAATCAAAAGTTGATATTCCAACAAGCTCGGATCCTTAAAAAGGTGCCGGATCTACCGGGTACCGGTCCAAATCGGGTAACTGGTTCATGTCTTTTAAATACATAAATCTTAGACATAGCATATGTAGCAGCAAAAATATAAATTTCTGTATTTTAACTTTCTCAGAAACATCTTGAATGGTTGGAAATTTTGTACATCAGTGGTCGGGTACACAGACCCTTCAGTTCGGGGTATGCGTACCACTAATACTGAGAAATGCAGGTACCTGAACAGCAACATACCATTTTGTATTATATAGTCTATAAGGTTCGAATTTTACAGTCAGTACGATACCCTTGCTTTTGCTGTTCTCATCTGCCTTGTTGTGTTATTAAATAAAATTATTAAAAGCCTTTTTTTATTCTCTGTATTTTCGCGCCAGTCTATCCCCTCAGCATAGGTAATCGACAATTTGTGTCAACCATTTGTCAAGTACCTTTTGTATTTAAATCAAATGTCCTATCCTTTCCCCTAGATCTCATCAAATAAACCGTTTTAAGGCGTTATATGGTACGAACTTCAGTTTTGACTGGCTGATCGTTCAGCCGTACACATAGTTAACAGCGTAGAGAAGTCCTTAAAATTTAGCTCGCTTCTGTGGTGACGAAATTTGCCTTCCACTGTAAAACCGGCACTGATCCTACAATTATATCTCACAGTATTATAATTTGTGTACTACTTAGAATACAACTAAAAACAACCGCCACCCCATTGACAAAAGAGCGGGTCATTTGGAATCTTACATTCATGCCTTAATATGGCCTATTAAAGATGGGGTTGTGTGAACGTAAAAACGCTAATTATTCATACAGTAATGATGATCTAATTACTTTATAATCACTTGAACTTATTATAACAGTTTTAAATATAAGAACGGTTAATTTAGAAATTCGAAAAAGGTTGTTAAAGTTGTATGTTTGGAGCGCGGCGTTGTACGGGTGCAAATCATGAACAGTGGGCGCGACGGAAAAGAAAAGGTTAGAACCTTTCGAAAAGTGGCGAATGATGCGGATAACGTGGATAGAAAAGGTTAGAAATGAAGAGGTATTGGAAAGAGTAGGAGAACAGAGAACTCTATGGAAATATAGGCGACAGGTTGGTAGGACACCTCAGAAATGAAGGTCTAGTCAAAGACATATTAGAGGCAGAAACAGGAGTTAGGGAAGGGTAGAGGTAGACCTAGGTTAGATTACTGTTCGCAAATAGTTAAGGATGTGTGGGCTGTTCTAGTTTTAGGGAAATGCGAAATTTAGCTCAGGATAGGAAAGAGTGGAGGTACGTGACCAACCAGTCTTAGAACTGACGACCTTATGATGATAATGATGATGATGATGATAATCGTAAGTTATTTTTGTATTCTCAAGTCAATAAAATCTTTATTATTAGTCATAAATTGTGAAATATATCGTGTTTTAAAATAAAATAAAAAAAACCCAGTGCATCAAATTATCTTTCAACTGTACTTTACGTAGAAAACTCTTGTTAATGTTCGCAAACTGTCTAAACATGGTGATAAGGTGAAATTGTTTTTCAATATGTGCTCTTAACTTTAACCTCTGAATTACATCACCATTGATTCTGGATAGTATAAATATGTGCCCACCCTCACGTTATGACCATTCATATTCAATATTAGTTACACCGTGTACTCTTCTCTGTTGTAACGATAATGCTATCCATAAGTGTTTTTCTGATATCGTTTGCTTTCTTAGTTTTTAAGCATTCAGTGAACGCGGCCGGTTGTGATGTTCCAGCTTCTTCATTAAAAAATAACAATGCACCACCGCTTTTTTTCCGTACCAGCGCCGATATGGGCAGAATAAGCGATAAATCGATTGTCAAAGCAGCAGGTGGCAGAATGATCTTCAACGATAACGAAGACGTAAAAGTGGTGTGTTCCATTGATAAAATGGATGTCAATACAGTGACGAAACACATAAAATGTCTAAACAACAAGTTCATTGAAGATGGCATATACAAGGACCTTAAAGATATAACCTGTCAAAATTCTCGTCCTCCCGCACCAAGAAGTGAAGTTCCGGGTCTTTGTAAGAACGCCTTTTTAACTGTTTCCGTAGGTTTTCGAATTGATGGTGTTTTTTTAAACCGTATCGAATCCTGCTATGACAACAACACTCGTCTTCCTTTATACACCAAATCGATTTTAGACCAATCGATCAGTACTTGCCCTACGGGGAGACCGGGATGGTACAGCACCGGTACTTTTAGAATTATGTTACCGGCAAATATAGAAGAGATCTACACTATAGATAGCCAGAGAAAAACTGTCAACCAATTATTAGGACTTCCTTCAGGTGACAAAAGTTTTATTGGCGATGGTCACATGTACTTTGCCAGAGGTCACTTAACACCGAAGTGCGATTTCACCTACCCTTCGGAACAACGTCTTACGCACAACTATTTCAACGCCGCTCCCCAATGGCAACAATTCAATGCTGGAAATTGGAAAGTCTTGGAAGCAAGTATCAAAGACTTCGTGACGAAATCGACAACCTTTGATCACATCGTCGTATATACTGGGACGTACGGCATCACAAAATTCAATAATATCGATATTTATTTGTACGTTGGCCAAGGCATACACGCTATACCTGTACCTCAATATTTTTGGAAAATAATTTACGAACCTACTAGCAAAAAAGCCACTGTGTTTGTTATAAATAACAATCCAAAAGACATAAAGATACAAGCCATGTGTAGAAGCTTTTGTGATACACTTGGATGGCTTAAAAAATCTTTTGAACCGACTACCATATCTAAGGGAACCTCATTTTGCTGCAGTTACCCAGACCTAAAAGGTATTATACCCAACATGCCTGATATTGAAGTTTTAGGGCCACTCTTGTAATAATATTAACGAAATTGTTGTATATTTGATTGTAAGGGAAGGTAACTAATAAAATCAACTTAAATTAAACCCTGTATATTATTAGTACTAATAACTGAAAAAACGAGCAGGACATTTAAATAATATTTTCGATTTTTATTTTATTTTTATATAATTTTTCCTTTTACCAGAAATCAAANAGAGGCGCCAAATATTTACATCTTTTCCCGGAGTTTCTTTCGAGGGGAAGGGAATTTTTTCCTAGATTTGCACAAAATACCGTTAAAAAATTTCTAAAAATATCCAATTTAAAAATTCTCTTTCGCCATAAATTACCTCCCATTCCATTGATAATAGTTGGAAAAATTTTCCGTCATTTTGGATTTTGTAATTTATTTAGAGGAGTGAACGTAGTCAGAAAAGAGGCATTGTTTCAAAATAATTTGTAACTGCATAAAAATTCATAAAAACTTTTGAAATGTTTAAAATAAGTTTAAGTTCAAAGTTGTTAAATTAGTTAAACCGAAAATAATCTTATATTTAATAAATTATTCATTTTACAATGATTTTTACTAAATAATCGTTAATTCATGCAATCATTCGCTTTGAAACTGCATATAAGTACCTTGTAAATTATTAAAACATATGTAGTACTTCTAGAAAATCTACTTTTTAATCTTCAATTGGTTTCATATCGTTTGCTTTGTGCAATCAAAAGATAGCTACATACCTGTAGCGTGCGCGCTCCCGGAAGTCTATTCCAAGGTCAACAGACTGTTGACAGTAATAATCAGGGTGGCAAATTATAACAGCTGGCGACAACCAGGCCTTTTTATGGCAGATACAGACTCATAGTTCTTGTATTATTATTACAAAGATCAGTATTGTTCTGATCATTTTGTTGAGACGTAAAAATTGCGATAATTACAGGTTCTTATCACTTTGTTTGATCAAAATTGGGTAAGCAGAAATGCTGAGATATAATCTACCACTTAAGAATGAATAGGTCTGTAAAAAGCGTCGAAATTTCAAATTCATGATAAAAATTAGTGTTTTTAGAGAGATAAAATGGAATTGATGGTTGTTTGTTATGGATTTATTTGTTTTTTTTTATTGGTTTATTCTTTTTTCAATATTAGTTCTTTAATCTTATTAGTTGCCTTGTTCTAATATTAAGCTGTTTAGATGGTTAGTACGTTGTAGAAAAGTTTTTTTGCAGTTACTATAAATAGCCGAAAAGATCGATTCATTGTTCGAAATGATTTCGCAAAAAAAACTTTGTAAAAGCATGCTCACTTTGCTAAAAGACAATTAAATTCAAGGACTGGAGGTTGTTTAAGTTCAATTCCGGTCGTTACTACTGGTACCATCAGATGTGGTGAGAAATTCAAATGAAATTCTAACATCCAAGGCCAGGATGTGCCAAATAAAAATGGACCAATCTCCAAATATTCTCCCTAGTTTTTGTTGATAAAATTAAGAAATTGTAGATTAGAAAAAGAAAACTGACAACTTATAGGTGCTTACTTACATAAAAAGTACCTAATATGTGAAATACGGTGTAATCAAATGAGCTGGGTTATAATCCGGATACTTCCACATTAGGTGGTAATGATTATTAATATGGAGGTTATTTCCCATTTTTTTCTGTTCAAAAATTCATTTAGCAGAAAAATTAAATTATAAATTAAATAAAAATTTCCTTTTTCATAAACTAGCATTACATTCATTTTGTCTAAGCAAATTTTCTTAGGTCTTGAAGCTGACAAAAATCGGATGTGTTAGTGGACGTCTCTCTTACTCTTGTTTGTAGAGATCGAGAGAGAGAGAGGTGACGATGAAGATTGGATTAGTATTTTATCTGGTGAATATATCCAATAGGACTAATTTTATAATGCTTCTAAAACTGACTTATTATAACCATCATAAATTAAATAAAAAATCCCCTTTCTCTAAACTAGCTCTAAATTCACCATGTCTAAGGAAATTTTCCTAGGTTTGGAAGCTGGCCAAAATCGGATGTGTTGGTGGACATCTCGCTTCCACTTATTTGCTGCTTGCAGAGAGCGCGAGAGAGATGAAGGGGTAGATTCGATTTCTGGTTAATATAGTCAATAGGAATAATTTTAAAATGCTTGTGAAACTGACTTATTATAATCATCATAAATTAAATAAAAATTCCCCTTTCCCTAGACTAGCTCTAAATTCACCATGTATAAGGAAATTTTCCTAGATTTGGAAGCTGGCCAAAATCGGATGTGTTAGTGGACATCTCGCTTCCACTTATTTGCTGCTTGCAGAGAGCGCGAGAGAGATGAAGGGGTAGATTCGGTTTCTGGTTAATATAGCCAATAGGAATAATTTTAAAATGCTTGTGAAACTGACTCAGTATAATCATCATAAATTAAATAAAAATTCCCCTTTCCCTGGACTAGCTCTAAATTCACCATGTCTAAGGAAATTTTCCTAGATTTGGAAGCTGTCCAAAATCGGATGTGTTGGTAGACATCTCTCTTAATTTTATTTGCTGCTTGCTTCGATTAGCCTTCCATTTGGTGAATGTATCCAATAGGAGTCATTTTATAAGCTTCTGAAACTGACCCATTAGTACTATTATGAATTAAATAAAAATTCCTTTTTCCCTGACCTAACTCTAAATTCACTTTGCTTACGGAAATTTTCTTGAGTTGGAAGCTGGCTTTAATCGAATGTTTTGGTGGACATTTCTCTTCCTCTTATTTACTGCTTACAGAGAGCGAGAGAGAGGTGATGAGGAGGTAGGTTCGATTAGTCTTCCATCTGGTGAACACATCCAACAGTAATTATTTTAAAAAGCTTCCAATATTGACCTATTAGTACCATTATAAATTAAATAAAAATTCCCTTTTATTTAAATTGGCTTTAAATTCACTATCACACCTCGACTAGTAGTGAGGGAGTAATGGAGATCTAATTTTGTTTTAGACCCCGGCGGCATTACCCATTTGCTCCGACTGCCTGGGTACTGAATCGAAGAATAAAAACGGATTATTTGAGAAACTCAGTGCCTGTTCTGGATGTGGTACCTGCGTCCACTTGTCCTGCGTCAGTTCGGGGTTGGAACTGTCGTTGCTTCTGTCCAAGGGTGGTAAATGGTTCTGCGAAGAATGCAAAACGTGTGCAGGTTGTGGTAAGTTTTTGAACGTGCTCTTTAATGTTCATCAATTTTATTTTATATTGTTTTTATATTTCTTATATGTTAACGCAACGTTCTATAATGTTTATAATAAAAATAAGAGTAACTTAAATAGCAAAATGTCACTCATAATATAATTAGTACAAAATTATTAATAATGACATTATTTAGATTTTAATTGTTTTGGCTCTGGGCTAAATAATTGAATTGCAAAAAGATGACTTGTCCATAGCGTCAAATACGTAAATATACTTTTACAATTGAATTAAATTTTAAGTATATGATTAGACCTACCGTAAACTACCTTCATAAAATATCTTCAATATTATTATGCTGCCAAAAAGAAAAGCCGTAGGTTAACCACTGAACAAAAGGAAATACATGACAGTGACTGCTGCCTTCTGTTTATCCATCAAAAAAGTAATTTGTAAAAAATAAATTAAGAAACGAAAAGTACTACATCGGCCGCGAATAGAACCTTTGACGCCGGTGTAAGGACCACGAACAAAATTCCCTCATCAGCGCCATGTTTTTTAGACTCCTCCTTTTTGTACACCGTCCAATTAGAATTCGACAGTGTATTTGATTTTGAGTTTTATACGTTTTATACTAGGCTTTTGTTTAGCGGTCTTTTTTTGTAGAATATAAGCAAGGAGGCATATAATAAAATAACGAAATATTGTAAATCATAGTTACTACCAAGTTACCACCTTTTGGAAAAGTAATTGAAATGCCAGAATGTGTTTTTTGTGGATTAGGTAGGGAAATTCCCTGCAATTTTCGAAGTAACTTACATACAGATGTTTATATCGTACCAGACATATCTACTTTTTTTTCTGTAAAGAAGTTGTGGCAGTTAGCTAACTATTAATTAATAAGTATAGGAAACCTGCAGGCCATTTTTTTTATTAAAGCTTTCTAAACTCAAAAAAGTATTTTTTTTCTCTTTCAGTCGTTTTTAGTTTGCATTATTGTATTTAGTTTGAAATCTTGCACTCGAACTCGAGTTCGACATTTGTTATTGCAGCAATTACGTTAAATGAAATGAGCCGATCATTTCGTAATCAAAAGTCGTTTACGGAATTCACGTCGTGATAGTTTACGTTCCTGGGTGCAATATACATAGGTATACATTTGTATTTTTTCCTCGTTTCTTATTAGACAGATATCGAACACGTATTCCCACCTTTTGTTATTCCTATTAACAAATATACATATACAAAGGTGCGACAGTGTTTTAAATAGTTTTCTGTTGATGCAATAAATGCTAATCATTTTTTAATGCAGATAAATCATATTTGATAGTTATTTAAGCATTTTAATAAAAGTTAAACGAATTTGAAATTCGAGTGGTTGAAAATTTAACCATGTTGGTTTTTGTTAATGCTATATCAAAATAAAATAATTTCATCACTGAACCGCTTCCGGTTATATCTACAGTAGGAAAATAAAATATTTACTGTTTTAAATAGATACAATGTTACATACATATATTAAGAAAAATTTTAACAGAAAGTGCCGAGCTTCCAAGAGGTGATAGAACACCATAAAACATGAAAATTAAGTAAATGTTTGTATTACTTAAAGTTTGCCGTTTTCGAGAAAAACGTAGTTTAAAGAAAAGGTAAATTTAATTCCGGCTCTGCTAAAGAAATGCGGTCCGCAACGCTGCACTCAATATTTTTTTTGCGCATGTTTTGCTTATTTGTTAGATTAGGTTAAGTGTGATTCGGGGTGTTTATGTTGACAGTCAACCTCTATTTGGCAGTCGATTTGCAGTTCAATAACCTAATTCAGCAATACATCAATCATCAGTGTAGGCTAGTACCTATGTCACGTTAGAACACTTGTTGCAACATGATGCTTATTTACGGGTTTGAACCATATCGCCGCTGTAGGGACGAAATTCTCTATTTCTAATAAAACTATCCCCAAAACAGTACACGCGAAATAGCAGGAAATGTTGACTCCTCTCATGTGACAATGTGGCAATTATAAAAGAGCAGTTGCTGCATCCCCATCATTTGCAACGAGTGCAAGCCTCGCTTGAAACCAATTTTCAGTTGCGAGCGGATTTGTATCGGTAGTCTTGAAGGAAAAGTGCTTCATGGCGGTACGGTGGTAAACGACATCTGTTATTTGTTCTGTTTGGTTACGTGCCTACTACATAGGGTTAACTACGCCATGGATTCACTTCGACATTCTTAAATTCCACTAATTATGGTAATATAGTACAGGTGGCGTTGATCCCGGTGTTGTAGGTAACTCATAAACTGCTGTCTTATTAAGGCCACAGGTAGAGTGGGTCTTCATACTGTCGGAACAATCTACGGATATACGCTGATGAGATCCAATTAGATGAAACCCGCGACTATGGATGTATGTTATTATAATACGTCTCATAATTAATGATTAATATTTCTTACTATTTTTAATAAAATAATTAATTCGACTAAAAAATAGTTTGATTATGAATTGATAAAATAAAATAATACGAATGTAAGCGTACTATGATATCAGATCACATATGTATATTCATTTCAACCGATCTAATTTGTATTATATTTTGTAGCTAATTTGTACTGAAAGAATTAATTTTGTAAAAATTGAATAATCTGCTATTATCTTGACATCACACTAGCAAATTACATTTTCGTTTTAGTTGATTTGAGGGCTGTAATAGGTATCAAGCTAGCAGTGATTCATCCGATTTCCTATCATGTATAAGCTCTATGAAATTAATTCTTTCACTACTAATTTAGTTACAAATTACTCATGTTTAGATAGGAGGGATGTGTATTTGATCTGCTAGCGTAATATACGTACAATAACTTTCTGTTGTTTCAGGTAACTCAGATGTTTCGACATGTCTTTTGTGTTGTTGTAATTGCGATAGAAATTATCACATGGGTTGTCTGGATCCACCCGCTGAAAGAAAACCTAAGTGCCCTTGGCGGTGTAGGCATTGCCTTAATCATCATGATAATACAAAAATTCGGAAGCCTGAGCCAGGCAGTGTGGTTCGAAAAAAGATTGACAAAGTTCGGGAAAAAATCAAAGAACAAAAACAAAAGTAAGTTTTTGCATTTGATCTAAATATGCATTTTTGTCAATAACTCCATATATTTCAATTGTTTTATATCAAACGTATACGTGCCTGATTTTTAATTTAATGGAATGATTCGTCATTTTTACAATGAATTGCTGTTTTATCTTATTTTATTATCTTTTTTATTTAAACTAAGTGAATTTGTAAAATAAATATTTTCTTTATTATATTAGGCCAGTAGCAGATTCGGTTGAAGTTACGCGCTCAGCGACCCCAGCTGTGTCTTCAGCTGTTACAACGGCGAGCACAACAACCCCTTCAACTTCTGTTGTACCATCGGCAACCCCAAAATTGAATGGTCCACGAAAAAGTAGGATCCCTCCGGCAGCCAGTCTAAGCGAGAGCGAATCCACCGAGCACGAGGGTACGCCAACTCCCTTCACTTCACACGCCCATCCCACAACCATCACCACAACTACCAACACTACCACCACGACCACCGTTACCTCCAACTGTATCCCTCCTGCCCCCGTTGCCTCTGCCGCTGAACGCCTTGAAACGTCCGATCACATGTCTAAAGAGAAGCAGAAGTTCTTTCGTTTATCTGCATTTAATGCCAAAAAACGTCGAAATAAAGGCAAAAACGCTGTCCCCGAAGATTCGTCGAATACGGACATGGGGAGCAGTCAAGCGACTGGAAGTCGAAACACAAGTCCCTCCAGTAACAAGCCGAGCAGTAGCCGATGCCTTGGATCGGAAACGGGAGTCGAAATCGAAGAAGACAAACAGCCTGTTACGAAAAAGCAAACGAACAATAACAAAATAGTAGGTAAGAGTGCCGCCCACATCACAACAACAAATAATTCCGTTCAGCGCGATTATAAGAGTCGTAGTTGTAAAACTGTAAGGCCAGAAAATAAGAAGGTTGAAAAGAAGAGTAACCAGAGTAATACGTCCAAAACTGCCAAAAAATTAGCAGTAAACAATAAAAAGACGAACGTCAAAGAAGAAAAGAAAAGCGACAACAAAAATTCAGTCGAAAATTGTGAAAGCTCCGACGAAGAAGATTCGAGTTCGTCGGAGTGCTCGTCTAGCAGTATGACGTCATCTTCGGGTTCTGATTCGGACGAGTCGTCAACCGAAAAATCCCGACCGGCCGTTAAAATTACAAACATCAAACTGCCTACAACTATGTTTGCCTCCAACAATAATAAATTGGAGACGTTTGGTAGCGTGGGTGGCATTACTCCAGACACTAACGGTGTGTGGGGCTTCGCAGCAATGGCTGCTCAAGGCGAAGAAGTTCAACAGGCCGATGTTAAGGAAAAAGAAAGCAAAGAGGCCGATGAGAACAACAAAAGTGACAAGAGCCGTAGTTCGGGTTTCGGACAATTAAAAGGTTTATTCGACGGCTTGTCACATTTATTTGCTACCCAGAAAGGATCGCGAATTGATAACGTACCGAATTATAGCTTGAACAGTCGCAGACGAAAAGACATTCCCAATAAGGATGCGGAGGCGAATGTAAAGGGCGTAAAGCGGGTCGCCGCAACTAGACCATCCAGTTTACGTGAACCTTCTACTAAAATCCCTTGTCCTTGTCCACCAATTCCATCTCATAATACAATTAACAATAACAATCCATCCTCAAAGACCTTTCCGCCGCCGAGAGAGGCAGCGCCTTCACCCGTTGTACAAATGACGCCTTCGAACCTGGTTAAGACGGCTGTGAATTCGAAACGGCACGAATTAGAGCGACGGAGGTTCCTTAAGAGTGAAGCTGGGTTGGGGCCGGTGGGGTTCACACAAATGTCGTTGTCATTCGAGGACGATCGCACGAAAAAGCGCCTTGCTGAGGCCGTGCAGGCGCCTTGTTTGCAGTCCAACAATCAGACGGGTAAGATCGGACTCCAGCCCAACTACACTACTTATCTCTGCCGTTTTCCAATCCATCTAATCTTCCGTTTGTCTACATCCCTCGTCGAAATGATTGATCCCTATTTACTCCTCATCTGTTCCTACCATCCATTTTGTTTATACTGATCAACTAGTCCGGTCTGAAATAAGGGTCATTGTTTTTGGGGTAAAAAATTCTCCATAATTTTAATCATGTGTATTAAAACAAAATTAAAACGTTTGAATGGTTCATTTCTATAATTCGTATTATTTCTTTAATTGTAATACATCTTTGTATGTCCCGTATGGGTTCCTATACCATTTATTCAATTGTGACAGTTTCTGAATTATTACAAGTAGTATCCTAAAAACAGTATTACAAATTGATAGCGTGGTGATACCTGATTGATGGTTGTTTACTTTTTAAATATGTATTTATTGAAATATGTTTGAGTTTCTTTGTGTTTCTGAGAAAGTTCTGCGGAAACCTTTAAGAAAATTGTTTTCATTTGTTTTCCTAATGTAAATGTTAGGCCTATTTAAATTTTAAGTAACCTTACTTGATTGGTTGTTTGATAAATATATATTGTATAAATGTACAAAGTTACAAATGTAGCATTATGGTAAACTTTCCATCATCATGAAGGCCTTTATTTCAGATGCGAATACTATTGGCCCATTGTAGTACAAATTACTCTTGCTTCACTTAATAATCCTGCATGCCGCTGGTGTGGTAGTTCTTAGTGGATTGAAACGTGGAGGCCTAACGTTTTTGTTGAATCTACAACCTACCTGTTACACATATAATGTGTCGCATTACAATTTTCTGTTTACGGAAACTTGTTATCAATTTTACAAGAAACAAGTAAAAAATTTTTTACTAAGAAAATACATATATGTATGGGTTTATTCTGATTGAAAACCTAATGATTTTAACGTGTTTTATATTATATCGTTTTTGTGGAAGTTATTCAAGTAAAATTTTTATAGAGTTCGTGATTTTCATAAAATTAATAATGAAAGTTTCAGTGAACAGGTACGTGTGCGATTTTGAAGTGTTGATTTTTTTAAGTTGTCTGAAGTTAGGCACCACAAAAGTACCCTGCTTGTTATTCCTGACACATCACATTTACAAATACTCACACAAGCTGATTTTACTTGTCTGATTGACGGAATGGGATAAACTTACCGGAAAGAAAAACTGAAAAACAAAATTAAAGAAATGTTTTTGATTTGAGTTGACACGTCTAGAAATCTGCCTAAGTCAGATAGTAAAGTTGGTAGCTAATTAACTTAAGCTAAGTTGAAAGGTGACGATTAATTTTAATGGCATGTATTTACATTAACAGCTCTAGTATTTATTTAATTGAAGCTGTTTAGTTGTTGGATTCAGATGTAGCATTCAGTATCATATCACAGCATTGAAACATTAATTTTGAACATAATCAGTATACATATCATTAAGGAGTAAAAAATAAATCAAACTATATATTTTATTTTGTAACTTTGCTTCTTTTTAATAATTTAAATGCATGTTTTAATTTCGCACAGTTCTTATTGTGTCACCTTTTGCATTAAAAACATTTATAAACAATGCTTTTCGGTTTATTAAATCAGTTTTCTCTTCCAGAAAAAATAGTTCCACAACAGCTAGCACCCGGTGTTACTCAAAAAGACGTCGACTTGTTCCAGCAGACTCGTGAACGTGCAAATTCTACAACAGTCGGTCCATCACAAACAGAAGGCAGTGTATACTGTTCCCCCTCCCAGATTATGATAGGTCAAGGTCGATGTCCAGCTGGAATAGAATTCGGTCGATATGAGATAGAAACGTGGTATTCCAGTCCTTTCCCTCAGGAATATGCACGTTTGCCTAAACTATTCCTTTGCGAATTTTGTTTGAAATATACAAAAAGTAAAGCAGTCCTAGAAAGGCATCAGGACAAATGTACATGGAGGCATCCACCCGGAACCGAAATATACAGGTGCGATGAATTATCTGTTTTTGAAGTGGATGGAAATGTGAACAAAATCTACTGTCAGAACTTGTGTTTGTTGGCGAAGCTATTTTTGGACCATAAAACGCTATATTATGATGTTGAACCGTTCCTTTTTTATGTGCTAACGAAGAATGATAAAAAGGGATGTCATTTAGTAGGATATTTTTCTAAAGAGAAACACTGTCAGCAAAAGTATAACGTATCGTGCATTATGACCATGCCCCAATACCAAAGACAAGGTTTTGGAAGGTTCCTGATTGACTTCAGTAAGTTTCTCCTTCTCTTGACTTAAATGTTGTTTGCTATTATATATTTGTTTGTAGGTTACTTGTTGTCCAAAGAAGAAGGTCAGCCGGGCACTCCTGAAAAACCGCTCTCTGATCTTGGAAGGGTATCTTACCACGCTTATTGGAAGTCTGTGGTTTTAGAGTATCTTCATAAACATCGTTCAGAAAAATTTAAATTGACTGAGATAAGTAAAGAAACCGGAATGTACTGTCATGATATCGCAATGGCTTTACAGTTGCTTGGATTTATCAGAACGGCCCCAGGGGATAATGGTCCCAAAGCCGTTTTGGATATCGATTGGAAACGCGTCTCTCAACATGCAGAAAAAGTTGCCAAGTCAAAGACTCGTATACCAATTGACCACGAGTGTCTGAGGTGGACTCCTTTACTTACTCCGACAGTTAATCCTTTTAGAGAAGACAAATCCGATAATGAAAAACAATCCAGCTTTTCAGAACCGACTGCTGATATAGTCGTCCCTGTCCCCGAAAAAATTATAATCGAAACCCAAACTGGCGTTAAAATGAAGAAAGGAAAGAAACGAAAGACAGTTACCACCCCAAGAGTTCCAAAAACTCCCAAGAACGAACCTAAACCCGAACCAGCCGCCGTTTCCGAAGAAGTGGAAATAGAAGTGACATCATCCGGTCGAAGACGAACAAGGCCGAGCAAGTTCAATGAGACAACTTATGCTGATTTAAAACCAAAGGCACACCAAGCGCTTGAAACGCCAAAGAGAAAAAGGAACGAGTCCAATGCAAGCGATAAGGATACTGAAAATGATAAGAAGAGAAGTAAGTCCGAAGATATAAAACGAAGTATCACTAGATCTGCCAAGGCTAAAGTCGACAATGAGGCTGCCTCCGAAGTTCATGAAGCCAAAAAGGAAGCAGTAAATGAATTGCCAAAACCGGATGCAGAAGAGCAATCCTCTAGACCTCGCCGTACTACTACTATTAACAACATTAAAGAAAAGCCGAAAGAAAAACTGGGTGAACGTTGGTCCCAACGTCGTGTTAAGCGAATGGAAATGAAAGAAGCTAAATCTGGAGAAAAAGAGCCTATACCTGTTTCAGAAAAAGAAAATGTCCGTCAGTTAGCAGAACAGAATTCGATGGTGGTAGATGAAACTTCTAAAGAAGTAGCTGAAGTGACACCACCATCTCCAGAAAATGTCATTGCTTCGAAGCTTCCCACTCCTTCTCCACAAATGAAAATTAGAACTCCACGATCTTGTAGAAAAAAGAAAGGTTGGGCCAAAGGCCGTTCAAGAGTAAAGCCGCAAATTGATAAAAAGCGACTAACACTTCCAGAAAGTATAGTAGCTAAACATGTCATCACACCAAGAGAAAGTGAAAGCGAATCACTTGCTTCTGAAAAATCTGACGTTGACTTTCCTATTCAGAAAGAATCCAATGGCGACTCGGTACCAAAAGAAAGCAAACACAAAAAGCCTAAATCTTTGGATCTTGAAGAGAAACTTCCTTTGCGTAAGAGAAACAATCAGATTTCTAGTGGAGAAGATTCTTGTGCTGAAGCCGACGACGAAATGGAAAATGACGAGAGAGATGACAAAATAACCAAGGAGCGAAAAACATCACCGTTTGCAAAATACAAATATAGCTCGCTGCAAAAAGATTATCGGTCTTCAAAATATAAGAAAGATTCACTCAGGCTTTCAGAAAACAATACAAAAACTACCGAAACTGTGGCTCCGAACTTAGTAGACAGAGATCAGGACGATAATATGGAGATTGAAGAAATACCTTCGACTGCTGGTAATGCAATTATCGAAAATCAAATTGTAAGTAAGAGCGTAACAGAGAATGTTAAAAGGCAAGATCAAATAAGTAAAGTGGATTCTCCTACAACAACCACAACTTCAGAATCCGAAACAGAAATCGATGGACAAAAAATCAAAATAATTTCTAAAAAAGAAGCATTGGAAATAGCCAAGCAAAATCCAATTGTTATGTCTCCAGTCAAAGAAGAATCAGAAAAAGTTCCAGTTCCAGTTATAGAAACTTCTTCTGTTAAACCAAATAAAGAAACGGCAGCGTTGGTTAAAACCCCTGAGCCTGAAAAGCCCAAAGAATCTCTGAATGAAGTTGAAAATAAAATCGCAATTAAGCCAACCAATGAAATATCCTGTATAGATTCTTCAGTTCCAGAATCTCAGAATATTGAGAACTCCGAAAAATCAGTATTGAATATCCCAAAGGTGGAAGAACGTTTAAAACAACCGTCCGGTGTGGAAGATAAAAACATAATCGATTTAACCGAGTGTAAAGATGATATCTCTCCTCAATCTCAAGAAACTTCCAGGTTAAAAGAAGATCCCTTTGATGCATTGGCAAGATCATCAAACACAAATAAATTGGTCGTCGAAGCAAAACCGAAAGTAGAATCTAAACCAGTAGATATTAAACCAACCGTTAATAATCCTTTGGATTCAAGGAATAATAGTAATGAAGAATATAAGGTTCCCAGTGAAGATTTGAAAGCAGTTGAAACAAAACCAGAGAGAAAATCCCCTTGTTATGATTCCCGAAAAGATGTACCCAGAACTGTCGAGAACGATTCGAAAATGATTGCAATCGAATCAAAAAAGTCGAATACGTCCGATTCCAAAACTACCGAACTAAAAGCGCCTACTGTGTCTTATGAAACAAAAGTGACCAAACCTGACTTAAAGTCAATTGCCTGCTCCAAGTCCTGTGACAGAAAGCCTATTGAATTTAAGACAGATGCAGTCAGATTGAAGGAAGAATTAAAGCCACAATTAAAGCAGCATTCTTCTAAAGTGGAGTTAAAGCATAAGCAGGAAAAATACGATATATCAGACTTAAGATACCAAAAGCCTTTGGATGACAAACCTTATGATGCAAAACCAAAACTAGGTCACCTGGATAGTGAAAACTTACTCGCTAAAGCTGACTTTTCAATGCCAAATTATCACATGGCACAGTACAATCAGTGGCCGTGGGAACGATTAGCGTGGGAAAAAGGTTTATATTTTGATCCTACCAAAAGAGAGTATCAAAGTTACCCGATGCCTTTACATATCCCTCCTTTAGATATGTTGCCAAAACACACTTCCACAACTTCTTTAAGTGAGAAAGAAAAAATGAAATCACACCGACATGATTCCAAACATTCTCTGCAGAACAGTAGCAGTTCGAAAAGTAAAGACTTGAAAAATGGGAGCGATAAAGATAAAATTTCTCCGAAAAAAGACGAACGATCTTGCAGTAGTAAAAACAGAAACGACCCAGTAGATAATCAGATGCATTGTTCAGACTTTTGCAGTAAAAGCATCGATACAGTAAAAGCGCCCTATTCTTCTAATAACATTCAAGCTACTCATAATTATACTAAAAGTAACAGCATGTCATTGGGTAATGGCACAATTCAGACAGGCAAAAGTATGTCCAAAAGTAAAGATCTTGTTGATAAAAGTTCACAGCAAAGGCAAAATCCGCCAGAATCAGTGGTACAATCTCAAACACCGCTTAATGTTAAAAATACCCCTCCAACTCCCACTTCAGATATACCATCGATGGGTGTTTACACGCCAGATTCTACAACAAATTCAGTGCACAGCCTCCATTACGGTCAGTGTGAATTAGATGTTAGTCAGTTAGGTCTGGAATCGCCCACCTCTATAGGAAGTGATATGGCCTCACAGAATTCGGTTGAATCGGCACGACCTCCTTCTGTTGTATCCTCTCATCATCAGCAACAGCAACAACCTCAAACAAATTACGATTGTACCGTTCAACATAACATGCAGCAACAAAATTTGGTTAATCAGCAGGTGAGTGAATGCTATTTCTTCCTGAGTACTTTTCGTTTATTTTTGTTTATTTTATTTATTTAACTTGACAACTTATTATTGTGTACTTTTAAGAATACTAACTTAAGAATGTCTATGAAGGTACAACAAAATCAAACAAGTTTGCCTGCTTCGAGTCCTCAGCAGCCCACTAATATTCAAGTTTCTATGCCAACTTCTGGTATGCCCCAAAATCAGCAGCTTAGTCCTTCAGTAAGTCAGCAGCAGCAGCAACAACAACAACACAGTCCAAGTATAAATCAGCATCACCAACAACAACAACAACAACAACAAAGTTCCTCTAACAAGCGTCATGTTCAATCGCAAAAGCAGCGTTCAAACACAGCCTCAGCCTCATCTACTTCGAGTAAGCACCAACACTCCAATGTTAGATCAACACCACCTTCTGCCCAACACAGTGGCGGAGTACAACAGCAACCATCTCGACAACAGAGGTCGACGCCTCCAATCCAGCATCAACATATGCAAGTCAGTCCTACTCAAAGTCATCAATCTGCTCAGCAGAACATTCAGCAACAGCAGCAGCAGCAACAACAACAGTTACAGGCAATGCATCATGCCATGCAGGTAAGAAACAATGTCAAGTGAGTATTAATTTGTAGTTTGAATGATGAGATAACAAAAGTTATTATTTTAATATTCATACATATAAGAAAACTTGATATTATATTTTTTATAGGGTTATGGACATCATCATCAATTGAGTGCGTCCGCTATGCATCAACATGCCCATCACCCTCATCATCACTCTGTTATAAGCCAAAGTAATTATATACCTGTACCTCAAATGACGGTAAGTTCACAAGCATTTACTGCGCAAGGTCCCAGCACCTACGTCAGTATGCCTGCGGCCATGACTACCGTCATCCAGCATCGTATGAGTGCACAGCAAAATACTGTGGGCCCATTAGGCGGTTTAAGTGCTGCCGCCACTCTGTCTGGTCACCAGAAACTTAGCTCCTCCCCCTCATGTGCGGTCACTACCGCCGGTAACTTTTACGTTCAACCGAACACTCACGTGCATTCTCATACTCCTGGCCCCGCACCTGCGCCAACTACTCCCGCGCCCACTGTTCAAACAAACACAAGTCAAAACACCTCCGGCAACTCTAGCTGCAGTTTAGCGAAATTACAACAGCTAACAAACGGTTTAGATATGATGCCACCCTCGTCTTGTAACACCATGACTCCTCCACCGTCAGCAATGACCTTAACTCCGTCCCCTACTCATCATTCGCACGCTAATATGACCCCTCCTCCTTCACATCAGATGATTCAAAACCAATCCGTTCGAAATCTCGCAACTCCACCCAGCGCGATTCCTACCAATTTGCAACCGCAAGTGCTCGGCTATCATCCCAAATATTATCAAGCGAACATGAATGTTAATCAATTGGGCGGTACGGTGACGCCACCTATCGGTCAGAATTTGGGTCGTTCTGGACGGAATTCATCCAACGTTGCAGTGCAGCATATGCAAAGTTCGTCGAGCCGCGTGAGCCCAAACGTGACCCTTAACCCTAACATTATGGCCCAATATAACTCCCTAAACGGATATAGAATGGCCGCTCAGCAAACCCCTGGCGCTGTGACAGGTTATATAACAAATACGGGTTTTATCAACAATACGACGCAAATACCTATGCAAATGGGTGTCATGAATATGGCACAGACTCAGTATCAGGATCCAGCAGCCATACAAAGGGCTGCACAACAAAATACCATGTATACCACATACGGTTACATCAATGGTAGTCTGATGCAACCCCTTAATGGAACTATGCGACGTTAGTTAAAACGTTTGGGATTATGCTGTGGCGATCATGAAGTGAGTGTTGCGTACTGTTGTGCCCGGGCGTAACGCATGTGAATTCAATGAGATCTGATGGTTGTTTTATATTCAGTACAAAATTGTATGCGCGTTCTATGTATGATAACTATTTTTATAAGTATTTAAATATAGAAATTTCATGAACAAGGCACAAACATTTATGTGCCAGAAAATCATGAAGTTATCTGTAATATTCATCACGTACTATAATATTATATAACCTAATTTATAGACATTTTTAAACGTTTCAAGAAGTCTAGCATTTTATGAAATCAACTTAATTATTGTAATAAAAAGTTGTAAAAAGAAAATGAATACCAGGATAAGAATATTTATATATTCTTATATCTACCTTTCCCAAATAATAATAAAATACTTATTGTTG